GGGTGGGCCCTTGTCCGCTGTGTCCCCCAACTCTAACTCCAGTGAGCTGCATCTCGGCTCTAAAGCGACATGTCGCCCGGATGCACGGCATCAAGGAATCCTGCGCGCGCTGCCGCGAGTGCGGGGCTACCTTCCCGGACCGCCGCTCGGCCACTCCGCACCTCCAGAAGGCCCACGGCCTGAAGGGGGACGACGCCGAGCTCGCGCTGACGCGGTGCTGGGTCGGCCCCGTCGACGGCGACGCCCAGCAAGCCGACGCGCCGGATGGGCTGCCTAGCCCCCAGGCGCCGCCTGCCCAGCCGCTCCACCAGCCAGCGCCAGGCCGCGCGCAGCGCGCCGCCCCCGGAGGAGCGGCAACCCACATCACGCCGGCGCAGCAAGGGAGCTGTTCCCCAGAGGCTCTCGGGTCAGGGGTCCCGGCGGAGACGGCCTCGGCCAGAGCCGCGGCCTCGGACGACCCGGGCTTGGCCACGACCACCAGCGCGGGACAAGGACCACGGCAAGTAGCTTCTAGTAGCACTTGCCCCCCACCACCATTGCGCGGTTCACCCGCTGGTCCTTGTTTCCCAACAGGTCGTGCGCCGCCGTCACCACCGCCCGGACAACGAGGACTCCAAGGACTCCGTGCCGCCGCCCGCTCGCCGCCCCGCCAGACCGCGAGGACAGCGAGGACTCCATCGGCCTCCCCGCGGACCCACAGGGACGGGGACGCCGCAGAGGCTACACCCCAGCGCGCCCCCGCCTTGGCCTCGGCCTCGGTGGCGGCCGCGGACGGGGTGTCAACGGCCACGTTATACAGCGCGGGACCGCACCCACGGCAAGTAGTTACAGTTAACAACTCTTGCCCTAGCTCTGCTACCACGCCATCTCCACCCAGGGTTGCGTGTCCCGCAGGCACACTGCAGGCGCCGCATGGGTTGCCTACCCAGCCGGCGCGCCCAGTCCAGCCGTTGCCGCCGCTGATCGCCGCCACGCCCGAGGTCCGCGCCATCCTCACCAGCCGCGTGCAGGGCATGCTGGAGCAGGCGTGCGTGCAGGCCACACCGCGCCGCTCGCCGCCCAGGATGGTGTCGGCCATGGCAGTCGCCAGCCGGCTGCGGCGCGCGCACCTCAACATCAGGACACCGCCGGCCCTGCGTCGCGCCCCGCGGTCCAGGACGGCGCTGCTGCCATCCCCACCTGACATCGACGCGGCGCCGCGCCCCTCGCCCGGCTCGTCGTCGGCCGCCTCGGAGACCCACAGGGACGAGGCCGCCGCAGAGGCTCCACTCCAGCGTGCCCCCGCCCTGGCCTCGGCCTCGGTGGCTGCCGCAGACGGAGTGGAAATGGCCACGTTATACAGCGCGGGACCGCACCCACGGCAAGTAGCTTCCTCTCTCAACTCATGCCCTGGGCCTACTTCGCCGTCTCCACCGAGGGTTGCGTGTCCCGCAGGTTCAGCGCCACGCGTCACCTCGCCGCCGCAGCCCAGCGCGGTGCCCGAGGGCTTCGCGTCGGTCGGCTCCGAGTCCCCGCTGCAGCCTCGGCCGTCCAAGTTCCAAGCCAAGTGGGCCGCGAAGCTGCACGCCGCCAAGGACTGGAAGTCGTTTGAGGCCGTCGTCGCGCAGCTCACCGTGGACCTACAGGGGGGCCGCCAGCGCCGCCCGCCTCGTCACGGCCAGCAGCGAGGACGCCGTCGACGCCGCCAAGACCAGCGTGCCGACGAGGCTCGCCGGATCCAACAGCTCTACCGAATCAACAAGAAGAAGGCCATGCGGGAGGTGCGCGCCGAGGAGTCACCGGCGTGCGCAGTCCCCAAGGACGAGACGGCCTCGTTCTTCGACGACGTCTTCGCGGCGCGCCTCTCCACCCTCGACGCCCAGCCCGCGGCCGCGGTGCTGCCGCCTCGCCAGGCCGCCGATCCCTCTCTGCTCGCCCCGCTGGACCGCGAGGTCGTCGCCGCGCGCCTCCGCGCCGCGCACAACACCGCGCCCGGCCCCGACGGCGTGCCCTACAACACTCTGAAGAGCCGCGACCGCCACGCCTTCGTGCTCACCGAGCTGTACAACAGATGCATGCAGTTCAAGAAAATCCCCGCGGCGTGGAAGGAGTCCATGACGATCCTCATCTTCAAGAAGGGCGAGCCCCAGGACCTGTCCAACTGGCGCCCCATCGCGCTGTCCTCCGTGCTCTACAAGCTCTACGCCGCCCTGCTCGCCGACCGCCTGGCCCACTGGGCCCTGCGCACCGGGGCCGTGTCCTCCGTCCAGAAGGGCTTCATGCCGTTCGAGGGCTGCCTCGAGCACAACACCGTGCTGCAGGAGTGCCTCGACCTTGCGCGGGAGTCCGGCGCCGAGCTCACCACCACCTGGCTCGACCTCAAGAATGCCTTCGGCTCGGCCCCCCACGCCGCCATCTTCCATCTCCTGGAGCAGCACGGCCTCCCCGAGCACCTCCTGGAGATCCTCAAGGACGCCTACACTGACAACACAACGACCGTCTCCACCTCCGCCGGCGCCACCAGGCCCATCCAGATGGCGTCTGGCGTTAAACAGGGCGACCCGCTCAGCCCAATCATCTTCAATCTCTTCCTGGAGGTCCTGGTGCGCAGCCTTCTCGCCGTCGCCGCGGACTTCGGCTTCAAGCTCGGCGACAAGATGATCGTCGTGCTGGGCTACGCCGACGACCTCGTGCTTCTGGCGCGCTCCCCTGAGGCCATGCAGGCCTTGCTCAACATCGTCGGCACCGTCGCCTCCTGGGTTGGGCTTGAGTTCAACTCCAAGAAGTGCGCCACCCTGGCCATGCGCCGCAGCAAGGCCGTGAAGGCCGTCACCACCATCCAGGGCCAGCCAATCAAGGACCTGCAGGCCGGCGACGCTTACCAGCACCTCGGAGTCCCCACGGGGCTGTACGTCAACCAGACTCCCGAGGACACCATCAAGTCCATGCTGCAGGACCTCGCCGCCGTCAAGGACTCCCTCTTGGCTCCTTGGCAGAAGCTCGACGCCGTGCGCACGTTCATCCTGCCGCAGGCCCAGTTCGTGCTGCAGACCGCCCGCATCCAGAAGACAGCCTTCCAGGACCTGGACAAGGCCATCAAGAGCGCGGCCAAGCAGTTTCTCCATCTGCCTGACCGAGCGAGCAACGAGATCATTTACATCCCCTGCCGCCAGGGCGGAGCCAACCTCCTGCCCCTCAGCGAGCTCGCCGACGTGGGCGCCGTCCAGAAGGCCTTCAAGATCCTCACCTCACCCGACCCGCTCGTCCGTGAAGTCGGCCTCGCTGGCGTCTCGCGTGCCGCCGCTCGCCTGATCGGCCGTGAGCCCTCCCACGCCGAGCTGGCGGCCTACCTGTCCGGCGCCGAGTTCAGGAGCAGGCCCAACTCGTTCGCCACCATGTGGAGCGCGGCCAGGAACGCGACGCGCCGCCTCGACAAGAAGCTGGGCGGGCTGTCCTGGTCTTGGAGCGAGACGCTGCAGCGCTTCGCCCTGGAGGTCGCCATGCCGGGCCGCGAGCCCAACAAGACCGTCGTCGACGCCGCGTCTAGGTCGCGCGTCTCCGCCGTGCTGCGCGACGGCCTCCAGCACCACCATCTGCGCACGCTCACGGCCAAGCCCGACCAGGGCAAGGTCTTCGACGCGTGCAGCGCCCAGCCCGCCTCCAACCACTTCCTGGCGTCCGGCCACCTGACCAGGTTCTGCGACTGGCGCTTCATCCACCGCGCCAGGCTCGGCGTGCTGCCCCTCAACGGGGCCCTGCGCATCCCCGGCCGGAGCCGCGCGTGCCGCCGCTGCCAGTACGCCGACGAGACGACGGCGCACGTGCTGGACCACTGCCTCGGCCAGGGCAAGTCGCGGGCCTGGAACAACCGCCACCGCTCTGTCATCGGCCACCTCCTTGAGGCCATGCCGGACCACGTCAGGGAGCACCTGCGCGTCGAGAGGGCAGTCCCGGGCACCGACTCCGCCTTGAAGCCCGACCTCGTCTTGCTCAACGCCGGCACCAAGTCGGCGGCCATCATCGACGTCACATGCCCGTTCGAGAACCGGCGCCAGGCCCTGGCGGTGGCGAGCGAGGCCAAGATGACCAAGTACGCCGGCCTCCAGGACGCCCTCCGCCAGCAGGGCTTCACGTGCAGCATGGGCGTCGTCGCCGTGGGGGCCCTGGGGACGTGGGATGCTAACAACGAGTACGCCCTCAGTCTCCTCGGCATCCCGGCCCGCGAGCGGCGCCAACTCCGCCCCCGCATCGTGAGTGACGTCATTCGGTGGTCGCGCAATATCTACGTGGAGCACATGTGCGGCCACCGGCAGTACTCGTCTGACGTCGTACTGCCCGAGCTAAGTTCGAACTAATTACTCCTTACCACCGCCCTGTGCCGCTCGCCTTTCCTTAGCTGTCTGTCTGTGCTGTTCCAGGGACCGAGAAGCCGCGCTACCCCAGGTCTCTGGGCAGCCAGCAGCAGCAAGGAGTATCGCCCGCCCCGCGCGGACCCTCTCCGCACGGACATACCCCACGCCTCACCACTCCGGGGCGGGGAGTAACGACAACGCTGCGGGCCGGCGAGCCCGACGTCACTGCGCGCCGGGGTATCGGCAGTGGAAGATCGCCGCGCGGAGTAGCGCCGCCCTCTCAAGCGAGCGCCCAACTCACCCGAAACAAGTTATGTTCTTGTGTTTTAACTCTCTACTATTACCTTGTATTAACTTCCTTTTACTATCTTATTATTTTGACTATTGTGAGCCAACAAGGCAGTCCTAATCTCCACTCCGCTTTATTTCTTTGTGTTGCAGGGACCGAGTTCTACATAACCTCTCGTCCCTGCACACACCGGAGTTCTGTTAATCGTCAACCCTCTTTAATTCTTAACCAAGTTCACTTTAATTTTTTAATTTTTGCTTCAACTGTAACTAGTTTTAACTTCCCAAGCTCCACTTAAGCTGTAATTTTTATTTCTATCCTTTTACTGATTATCAACCTAATGTCTTTTAAGTTAAATCTAAATAGCACTGACACAAGAACGTGCTGCATCATACGTTTTCTCTACAATCACTATTTCTTTTGTACTATTTATGTTCAATAAACAAGATATCAAACTGGGGGTCGAGAGTTCGATTCTCTCTGGAGGCAGGACTCCTCGTTTTGAGACCCCGACTCAAGAAAGCGACACCGTATTGCTCCTTGCCGTGTTTGAGCAGTGCTGTACGCCGAGGTCCGTTGGTCTAGGGGTATGATTCTCGCTTAGGGTGCGAGAGGTCCCGGGTTCAAATCCCGGACGGACCCTCTCTTTTTGAGACCACCTTTCATATGTAAAGGAGCGTCAGCATTCTGACTTAAAGTTTTAAAAAAAGAAACGTAAAAGATGGAGCCTCTCCGGCGGGGAATCGAACCCCGGTCTCCCGCGTGACAGGCGGGGATGCTGACCACTATACCACCGAAGATGCGGCCTGGCGGGATCTGTCCCGCCACGCATCACCATCTACTTGGCATATGAGGGACAAACGGACGAAAAGTGGAGGTGCGGGGTATCGATCCCCGTACTTCCCGCATGCTAAGCGGACACTCTACCATCTGAGCTACACCCCCCTGCCGTGGGGGAGGTGGGACGGGCCAAAACTAAATAAAAACCAGCCAACAACAGAGCAAAAATGCCCGAACCAACGCATGCCCAAAACCCGACGCTCGCTCTACTCTGCAAACTCAACAGTGTACTCAGTACACTCTCTTTAGCGTGTACTCACGAGTACACACTCTTCAGCGTGTACTCACGAGTACACTATCGTCAGCGTGTGCTCACGAGCACGTTGGAGTGTACTTGTGAGTACACGCTGAACAGAGTTGTACTGAGCACACTGTTGAGTTTGCAGAGTATAACTGAAACATGAGACGAAAGGGCGCACCGCGTGTGAGCGCATATACGCCTCATGAGAAAGCAAACCACTGTGCTTTTCTGGCCTCACGATGATGGAGCGGAGCGCGCGCCGAGAGTGAGCCCATACGGCCTCATGAAGAAAGCAAACCACTGTGCTTTTCTGGCCTCATGATTGCCCAACCAACGCATGTCCAAAACCCCGCGCTCATTGAAACATAAGAAGAAAAGGGCGCGCCGAGAGTGAGCCCATACGGCCTCATGAAGAAAGCAAACCAATGTGCTTTTCTGGCCTCATGCTAAAGGGACACTCACTCTACCATCTGAGCTCCCCCCCCCCCCCCCCCCCCTCCCCTCCGTGTGGGAGGTGGACGCCGCTGCTCGTGTCTTATGACGACAAAGAGCTGCCATGACTTGACGCCGTGTCGCCGTGTCCGTGTCCCTCATCGGCCCGTGGCCGGTCTTAATGCATTTCTGGACGTGCATGACATTCTGGGACACTGACGACTTTCTGGATCACTGACGAACAACAGATCCCGTGTGTGACGAGGACGCCGCAGTCGTTCCCCACTGACTGTCACTCTTATTAGCAAACATGCGACCTCTCCATCTCGTCGTCCTGTGGCGCAACGGATAACGCGTCTGACTACGGATCAGAAGATTCCAGGTTCGAATCCTGGCAGGATCGAGGCGTCTCCCGTTTTGCTTCTTGCGCCGCGCGCTCACTCTCTGTACTCGCTTCGGCGGTACATATACTAACATTGGAACGATAGAGAGAAGATAAGCATGGCCGCTGCGCAAGGATGACACGCGAAATCGTGAAGCGTTTCACAGTTTTTGGCCGCCTTTCGGAGAGGGCCTCTCACTTGGGCCAGTCAGCTCCGCCTTTGCGGCGACACCACCGTGCGATGAGAACCAGACCCTCTTCCGAGTCGCTAGTTCCCATCGGCATCGGTGGTTCAGTGGTAGAATGCTCGCCTGCCACGCGGGCGGCCCGGGTTCGATTCCCGGCCGATGCAATTTTGTCGCCAGCCGACACGGACGGAATAAAACACGGCATCGACGTAGGGACGAGACGCTTGGAGCTGCAAAGTGGAGGTGCATCGTCATGGGCCTCCGTGGCGCAATGGTTAGCGCGTTCGGCTGTTAACCGAAAGGTTGGTGGTTCGACCCCACCCGGGGGCGCGTATCTCTTTTGGTGGAAGTTTCATCAGTTGCTTCCCCGCGCAGTCCCGGTAGGATGGTCCAGCAGCGAGCAGGCGGGACCGAGGACCGTGTGGCCTAATGGATAAGGCGTCGGACTTCGGATCCGAAGATTGCAGGTTCGAGTCCTGTCACGGTCGTCCCCGTTCTTATGGCCAGGAGAGCGTGAGAAGAGGAACGATTCCTCTTCCTCCCCCTTTTTCTTTCTTCTCGCTTTTTAAAAAGAAGTGGCAGCGGTGGGATTCGAACCCACGCCTCCGAGGAGACTGGTGCCTTAAACCAGCGCCTTAGACCGCTCGGCCACGCTACCAGCGCATTAATGCCGACTTTCGGCAGCACTGCCTATCAGAGGAAAGACGGGAGGAGAAGCAAAACGTGATTCCGCCCAGGATCGAACTGGGGACCTTCTGCGTGTTAGGCAGATGTGATAACCGCTACACCACGGAATCTGATACTGTCCTACCTGCAACGGACCGAAGCCCATTGCTGTGCGGTGTGGTTCGCCGCCTGTGCCGTTGACACGCCAAAGGAATGCGACAGCCGGGAATCGAACCCGGATCAACTGCTTGGAAGGCAACTATGCTAACCACTACACCACTGTCGCCACACGTGCCCTTACTGCAAAGGGGATGCAAGGAATCGGGCTGACTGCATCGCCAAGGTGAAAGCAGCATCCTGGGCGTGGCGGAGTCAGTTCTTCCATGAGCCCCCATGGCTCAGTGGTTAGAGCACCGGTCTTGTAAACCGGGGGTCGAGAGTTCGAATCTCTCTGGGGGCACGATGCTCTGTACTCCGACTGGTTTTGAACCACGGAGCGCAACCCCCAGCCCGACGCGGACCGTTTATTTTCTTTTACGGACGACGCTGCGTTGCGGACAGGCATGCTTATTAGTTCGACGGACCACGGTACTCGTCATCCGGTATGGTCTAGTGGTTAGATTTCTGGCTTTCACCCAGGAGGCTCGGGTTCGATTCCCGGTACCGGAATCCTTTTTGCTCTCCGAAAAGAGGAGTTGCTTTCGTCGCGGGTCAGCAGGATGGGTGCTCGGTGCGGCGACACGTGCAGCGTTTCATGTGCAATGGCGGCAAAATGGAGGACGTCCTTCGAGCCGGATTTGAACCAGCGACCTATGGATGCCTGCGCCAGCCCTATCACCTACAGTCCACCGCTCTACCAGCTGAGCTATCGAAGGTGCCTTGCCGACGTTGTGAGCGGCAGTGATGTAACTCCTCGACGTTGAGCGTGCAAGGGGCGCTAGTTAGTTTGGGACCCACCACTCGGACGCAATGCCTCATCTGGATTCCGTGGTGTAGCGGTTATCACGTCTGCTTCACACGCAGAAGGTCCCCGGTTCGATCCCGGGCGGAATCACTTATTATGGGTCGTCGGCCCGTAGGTATAGCGATTGCGATTGAAACTGTAGCGGCTGATGGGACAGCGACTCCGTGGCGCAATGGTAGCGCGTCTGACTCCAGATCAGAAGGTTGCGTGTTCAATTCACGTCGGGGTCATGTGGCACCCGTGCATACGCGGGCACACATCGCCTCTTCTTTTAGAAACGCTCTGGTAAAGTTAGTTTTTTTCCCCCTTATTATTGTTATTATTTATTTTATTTTTTTCTTCGCCTCGGGGTAGAGGGGTGGCAGTTGTATTTGATGGGGCGGTGTACTGACGTCAGCCTCGGTAGCGCAGTAGGCAGCGCGTCAGTCTCATAATCTGAAGGCCGTGAGTTCGATCCTCACCCGGGGCACACATGTTTTATCCTGTCGGCGCAACCAAAGAGCGAAAAATCACTACCAGTAAAAATTCGCACTATGGCCGGGGAGACAGTCTGAATTTTGTTTCCTTTCGAATAACTCCTATTTGATGAGGACGAGCAAAAGAGACCTTGGCCCATGGGGGGATCGAACCCACGACCTTCGCGTTATTAGCACGACGCTCTAACCAACTGAGCTAATGGGCCAGATGGTGAGAACCGCGGCCGCAGCGGAGATCATCTCGTCACATGGCCGAGACGGACTGAGTGCACGGAGCGCCTCTATGGGTCTGCCGTGTCGCACATGCGCCTATCAGCCGAAATAGCTCAGTTGGGAGAGCGTTAGACTGAAGATCTAAATGTCCCCGGTTCGATCCCGGTTTCGGCAGTCCCCCTTTTTCTTTTCGCAATCCGTTCTCAGGCGTATCGCTCAGGCGTTTGTTTTCGATTTGTTTGACAAAATTTAAGGGGGAGGGGAGGTAGGGGGAGACCAATGTTGCAGGGAAAAATGTGTCACCTGCCGTGACCAGGATTCGAACCTGGGTTATCGCGGCCACAACGCGAGGTACTAACCACTATACGATCACGGCTGACCCGCCACATGCTGAGCGACGGTCACGCAGAGCTACTGACTCATCGACGAGACAGACTGACGGCGACGCGGCCGTCATGCCAGTTGTCATCTAGATGAGAATATGGTCCGCAGGGAGGGGGCTAGGAGGGCGGGGAGCGCTCCGGCTCCATTCGTTTCTCAGAGCCCGGCTAGCTCAGTCGGTAGAGCATTGGACTTTTATCCAAGGGTCGTGGGTTCAAGTCCTCCGTCGGGCGTCTGTTTTTTTTCGTCATTTTGTCCGTTTCCATGACTCCTCGTCCCTTTCTGCGCCCTCTCTCTCCCTCCCACGCGGTCGTCACCCTGCTTCTGTCACGTCTAGATGTCAACGGCCCATGGGTGCGAGAGCGCCCTCGCCAGGGCGGTCCCATGGTGAATGGTGAGCACTCTGGACTTTGAATCCAGCGATCCGAGTTCAAATCTCGGTGGGACCTGGCTCTCCACCGCTTCTTTTGGGAGGGCGCGGACGATCGCGGATGCGGCCCGGTCCAGAGCGCGTCCGCGACCGTGCAACCCGGTGGAGCGGCGCTGGCGATCGGGACAAGCTTTGGCGTGCAGAAAGGAATGCGCGAGCTCCACCTCTTGGTATCGGGCCTGCTGCTGCGCGCACATCGTGGGGGTATAGCTCAGTGGTAGAGCATTCGACTGCAGATCGAGAGGTCCCCGGTTCAAACCCGGGTGCCCCCTGGTCCGGAGACTCCGTGTCCACCATACACTCTCTATTTTGGGGATGCTGTAATATTGCACGCAGTCGCGGTGCCGTACGCGCTGAACTGTCCGGTGGAGCCCTCTGGCAACCTCGTTTAGGGAGCTCGAGGTCCGAAATTGGAAGTGGCGGCTGGGACGAGTGCCGCCGCCGTGCCCGTTACAATGTCCCTGTAGCGCAGAGGATAGCGCGTCGGACTTCAATCCGAAGGTCGCGGGTTCGATCCCCGCCAGGGATGGGCGCGGTCGTGGCGTGACTCGTAGACGCAAGATGACGACGACGTTTTTGTCACGATCTCCTGAGGCGGCCGCCGCTGTCGTCTTTGCCTCTGTCTGATCCCCGCTACACACTACGTGCCGGCCTGTTGGTCTAGGGGTATGATTCTCGCTTTGGGTGCGAGAGGTCCCGGGTTCAAATCCCGGACGGGCCCGCTGACGGGAGCGCGAACAGCATCCACTCGGTCTGTCGCGCGTTCCTCTATTGTTTTTTTTTTCTCAGGAGCGGCGAGGGGGCAAAAAAGACAGAATAAAAAAGGATGTCAGAAGTGGGATTTGAACCCACGCCCTCATTCGAGACCAGACACCTCAGACCCGTGACTGGAGCCGGGCAAGGTTTTCCCTTGAGTCTGGCGCCTTAGACCGCTCGGCCATCCTGACGTGTTGCTGGGTCTCTGCAGCGACGTATCGACCTGACGACGACGCTCAGTGTGCGTCTGAAAGCGAAACGTTGAGGACAAAACATTGAGGCATAGCAGAGCAAGGTTTCGATCCTCGGACCTCTGGTTATGGCCCCAGCACGCTTCCACTGCGCCCTCTGCTGTGTTGAACGTGCGCCACGGCGAGACACACTGCAAGAGACTAGAGAGGCCGCCGCCCGCCCTCACACTCCCTCCCTTCTTATTGACGAGCAGACAATCTTCTCTCTCAACCGTAGCGTGGCCGAGCGGTCTAATGCGCTGCGTTCAGGTCGCAGTCCACTTCTGTGGCGTGGGTTCGAATCCCACCGCTGCCAATTCTTTTTTTCTACTTTCCATCTTCTACTTTTTATTACATTACAATACAATATACAATCCATCCACCCACCCACCCACCCAGCCTGCAGTGCCAAAGTGCATAAGTGCACTTGACGCACTTCACGCACCGTTACGCCCTTTACGCCCTAACCCCTTCGGGGGCCCTACCCCGAGTCGGCGGCCGCGCCGCGCCGCGCAAGCACGCACGACACTGCCTGCATTCGACGAGCAGTCGTGACCGAGTGGTTAAGGTGACTGACTAGAAATCAGTTTCCCTCTGGAGCGCAGTTCGAGTCCTGCCGACTGCGACTTCTTTTTTCAGTCCCACCGTTCGTTCACCCACGCTCCTGCATAACCCCACCCACCCATTCGCCAGTCAATGGTCGCTCGTTATGTTGGGTAGATATAATTGTTCGGCTTTCAGCGAGTGATTTTTTCGAATTTTATGCGCCGTACCCAAAGGGGCAGGTTATGTATCAAGTCGGCCCCCTTCACCTGCTCGCCACGGCCGGACTGCATGCCGCATGAAGGTACGCGTCTCATCGGCCGCCATGCCGCCTGTCACAACTTTGGCCACATCCCTGCGCTCACACAAAGGCGTGATCTCGACAAGGGCTTCACCGACGCGCCTCCCCAGCCGGTCAGACTCTCGGCGTGCCGCTGCTCCCTTATAGCCTCGTGAATCATGCTGCTACACACAAGCCCGGCTAGCTCATTCGGTAGAGCATGGGACTCTTAATCCCGGGTCGTGGGTTCGAGCCCCACGTTGGGCGTTTCTTTCTACGCCATCTTTCTATCGACCTTCTCCTCGCACAGTGTCTCGCGTCTGCCGCTCACAACGAAGTGCAGTCCGGTATGGTCTAGTGGCTAGGATACCTGGCTCTCACCCAGAGGCTCGGGTTCGATTCCCGGTACCGGAATCGTTTTGCCCGCCCCTTCTCATGCAGCGACCCCGTATTCGTCCCTTCAGTAGCATTCAGCGAATTCGCACGGCGTCATGTGACGAGGTGGCCGAGTGGTTAAGGCGTTGGACTGCTAAATCCATGGGCTCTGCCCGCGTGAGTTCGAATCTCATCCTCGTCGTCTCGTCCTCTTTTCTCGTTTTCCCTCGCCCCGCCGGTGTAGCAGAATCTCAAACGGCGAGCAATGACGGCAACATCATGCGGTCCCATGGTGTAATGGTTAGCACTCAGGACTCTGATCCTGCGATCCAGTTCAAATCTCGGTGGGACCTGCCCTTTTGAGGTCTCACGCGATCACACCCCCTCTGGTCGGCTTGCCTCGGAGCCCGTCGCCACGTCGCCTCCATAGCTCAGTGGTTTAGAGCACCAGTCTAGTAACTGGGTGTCGAGAGTTCGATTCTCTCTGAGGCAGGACTCCTCGTTTTGAGACCCCGACTCAAGAAAGCGACAACCGTATTGCTCCTTGCCGTGTTTGAGCAGTGCTGTACGCCGAGGTCCGTTGGTCTAGGGTATGATTCTCGCTTAGGGTGCGAGAGGTCCCGGGTTCAAATCCCGGACGGACCCCTCTTTTTGAGACCACCTTTCATATGTAAGGAGCGTCAGCATTCTGACTTAAAGTTTTAAAATAAAACGTAAAAAATGGAGCCTCTCCGGCGGAATCGAACCCCGGTCTCCCGCGGACAGGCGGGGATCTGACCACTATACCACCGAAGATGCGGCCTGGCGGGATCTGTCCCGCCACGCATCACCATCTACTTGGCATATGAGGGACAAACGGACGAAAAGTGGAGGTGCGGGGTATCGATCCCCGTACTTCCCGCATGCTAAGCGGACACTCTACCATCTGACTACACCCCCTGCCGTGGGGAGGTGGGACGGGCCAAACTTAATAAAAACCAGCCAACAACAGAGCAAAAATGCCCGACCAACGCATGCCCAAAACCCGACGCTCGCTCTACTCTGCAAACTCAACAGTGTACTCAGTAGTCCTGTCCCGGCCGCGGTCGGGTGCAGAGCAGCGTTACGGGCCGGGTGCGGCTTCGGCCAACACGCCCCGCTCGACGCAGTGCCGTGCTGTCAATGTGCCTGGATGAAGAAGTGCGCCCGTGTCGAACTGTGAGACTGTGACTGTGCTGTGCCTGCCTGTGCCCCATCATCGAGTGCCCCGCAGAGGGCCCCGCGACCAAGGAAACCGGCCGATTCGACGCCTCGCCAGCCAGCCGCCAGCCAGCCGAGCCGAGCCGGAGCTGTTGTTGTTGTTGTTTGCCGGGCGGGCGGCCGCCCCGGCCACGCCATGGCGAACCTGAGAAAGGCGACGGTGACGTTTGCGTTCAACGGGAGCAAACCCGTAAGTAATCTCGAGTTTTGGAATTTCCTGAAGGAAGAATGGAGTGTGAAGCTGGAAGAGCTACGAATGGTGCAAGTGGAGGTGACGGGGAGGAAAATCCATGCCAAATTTGCGGAAGAGCGGCGCGCCGAGGAAGTGTGCGAGAGAGAGAGACGTAAGTTTGTTTACAGTGACGGGACGAAGTGCGAGGTGTTTGTGAGCGGCTCGGGCCAGGCGGCCAGGATAGTGAGGATCAGGAACCTGCCGCTGGAGGTCTCCAAGCAGGAACTGGGCATTTGTCTAGGGCAGTACGGCAAGGTGAGCGAGATCCGAGAAGAGACCTACCCGCGCGGCTCGTGCTTCGAGGGGCTGTACACCGGTACTAGGATGGTGAAGATGACGATGAAGAGGCCGGTGCCGAGCTACATCAGGGTCGCGGGGGCGGAGGGGATGGCTTTCTACAGCGGGCAGAAACCAACGTGCCAGATTTGTAATGAAACTACTCATTTCAGAGCGGCTTGTCCAAGCAGGAAGAGGCCGACGTGGGCGATGAGGACGCAGGGCATCGGAGACGGCGAGGACGAGAAGAGCGACGAGAGGGACAACGCAGAGAAAGAGAGAGAGAGAGAGAGAGAAGACAGGCAGGGCTCCCCGCCCCCTCCCCCCCCTCCGGCGGGCCCCAGCAGCCGCTGCAGCAGCTGCGCTTCTCCGGCAGCATGCCCGAGCTGCGGAGCCAAGTCGAGGAGATCGGCGAGCAGCAGACGACGCCTGTGGACGAGGCGAGTTTGGATTTTTCTAACGACACTGTAATTTCAGCAGCATCCAGGCACAGCAGGCGAGACAGCACGGGCAGCGAAGGCCTCGACTTCATGGGGCAGCGCCGTTTGGACGAGACCTGGCCGCCACTGGAGTCGAACCCGGGCCCGAGCACGAGCAGCAGCGGCGGCGCGGCGACCAGCACTCCGGACGCAGCCGCGCGGCACGGAGCAACGCCCAGTGGAGTGGAAGCCGAGCCAGAGAGAGAGAGAGAGAGCGTGAGTAACTCGTCCGAGTTCAGCATGCTAAACGAAGAGAATGTTCTCTCCGAGGCGGAGGAGGCGATCCTCGCCGAGCACCGCGACGACGCCGTGGACACCGAGGACGCCGACAGCGAGACCTGGACCGAGGCGGCGGACCTTGCGCGCCCCAGGACCAGGGCGGGAAGCACGGCGAGCACGGCGAGCACGGCGAGCTTCAAGAGGAAGAGGATCGAAGCACAGGCGAAGATACAGGGGCAGATGGCGAAGCTGGCCGCCATGGTGTCAAAGCCCCCGGGCCCGCCCAGCAAGAGGGGGCGTGGAGGAGGCCGCGGAGGCTCTAAACAGAAATGAAAGTGCTCTCCTTTAACATGTCTATAGCAACGGCGGCGGTGAAGGTGCAGGCGCTGA